ATGAACAAACTCTAGGTATCAAACCTGACTATTCATGATACTGTCATTTTGAGTGAAGAGGAGAGCAGTGATTTCTGGACTACATCAAGAATGCCACTGGCCAACTGTCATTCAGGCAAATAAAATATATAAATTAGGAGATTAGCCCAACAAGTAGGTGGAGTGAATATCTTCCAATTGATCTTTTTTCCCTGCAGCATGCAGATCTGTAGTTTCCATGGGTAGGTGTGGCTTTTTCTTCCACATCTGTTCAAGTTCTGATGCCAGGCATTTAATTATAACAAATCAAGCAACAGCTGACTTCTTTGCAGATCCTTCTTCAATATATAAGGCAAATAATTAGATTAACAGGTGTGTGAAATCAGCAGGGTTCAGTGTAACAAACCTTGCTCTGGAAGGGATGTATGGCATATCCCCATCCTCAGACCCTTTCCTGTTTTGAGTGTCACATATGACAAACCATCTTGTTGCCTCAATTTTTCCATCCAGAGATGGAAGAAAACAGGAAAAATTAGGAAAACATTCACTCCTTTGGATTATTGTTGAGATTAATGTTCATAATGTGTATAAATGGTGGTCAAGACATGGTATGTCCAATTTCTTCGCAGCCTCACTCACATGCAAGCCAGTGAGTGGTCCAGGCTGCTGGATCCCATGAATTTCTAAGCCAAAAGGACCTGGGCAGTGTCCACTCACTGCTCTGTGTTTTATTCTGTGTTACTTACTCCCTGGATCACACTTCCTGCTCTAAGCATCCTCTCAGTGTAAATTCTGTCATGTGTTTGCCCAAGTCTCAGGCAATGTTGGCTCAGGCTTTGTGTGTACTCCTGTTCTTGTTCTTGTGATTCTTCATAATTATACCTTGTTTGTGGTTGCTTGGTTTCTTGTATAACCCCTTGAGGGATGATGTACCTAGAAGGCACAAATGCAGTATTTGCAAAGGCAATTTTTAACTACATTTGCTTCATTGTTGCATACCACTTCAGAGTTAGAGATCTTTGCAAAATACCCAGAGTCCTTAGATGCAAATGTGCTCATCTGATTTTGCCCCCTTCACAGTCTGAAAGCATCCCTGTGTACCAAATCTAGCAGTCTGTCCAGTCATCCTTCTCCAGTGAGCTCTTTTTGCATGTAGATGCTACCCTCCAGCCGTTTCATGAATCCTCCTCCACATTCTGTCTCTCTCCTCTTTCACATCGGTCCAAGCTGAACAGCTGGAGATCATCCTTGCATCTGGCTTTTGGGTAGAGAATTCATGGGTGGTGTCATGACTTAAGGCAGTAAGGGTTTTTTTATGAGCAGATGTGACTGTGCAGTGCCTTTCTCCTTGTGTTTGTTCATAATGATAATCAGGATATTATCACCTTTCCCAGAGCTGATGCTCATTTCAGATGAAGTTCATGGACAGACTGCATTGTCCCCATCAACTCCCAAGAATAAATTACAAATTAGTGGTCAGCTGCTGGTGCACAGATACAGAAGGTGGAGAGGAATTATAATTCAGTGCAAACTCATCCTGCTCTATCACAAAGCACGCTCTCTCCAGCAGACCCCCCTGCTACCTGGCAGGATTGATACCAAGAAATTGCACGTCCCTAATTAGCCAATTCAATTGATATCACTAATACTAAGACACAAGGAATGTCCTGACTTACTGGCATGAAAGCCCTGCAGTTTTGGCAAGCTGTTTCAATACACCCTGTTGCTACAGCACAGGAAAAAGGCAAAACCCCAGAATCAGTGTGATCCTGTTTTGTCTATCAAGGGCCCCTGTGATCACAGAGCATATTTCTCATCCTGCTCAACATTTTCTGCGGGAAGAGCTGACATAAGTTGGCAAGGACAGCAAGCAGCCCCTCCTTCTCATTCCTTCTCCAACCAGTGTCAGGAGCAAATTCAAAGTCTCTTTGATAAAGTGAACCGAGATATGATCACAGCAAAACCCTGGTCCTGTTTTGCATTCCTCCCCACAGTGTTAACTTCAGGTTGCAGTGTCAGGCAAAGCGAAGCCCATCCCTTACAGAAGCATAACATATTACTAAGGCTGATCTATACGGCTTCCTCCTTTCACTGATGTAACTGCTTTACCTCAGTAAACCGCTTTACCTTTTTGCCAAGGTGAAAAGGGATCTGGTAAAGCACATAATCTATCAGCCATGTGGGGTATAGTTTAGTATTCACACTACAGCACCAAGATTAGATTGGTGCCTGGTGTCTAAAACTCAGAGTGGATTTGGTGGAAGCAAAAAGCATTTGGTCCTTCTGGGAGCAGGCCTACCAGGCGGTGAGCTATCACACAAGGCATGATGCACGCATGAGTGACTGTAATTTAATGGATGACTGCACAGAAATGTTCCTTGTGCTATTATATGTATGTCCTCTATGCCTCCAATCCAAAACTCTGGTACCTTTCCTTTTTCAAGATGTCTTTTATACAATGGAAAGATGCCTCTTGCCATTATAATTTGCCGTATGCTGACAGCTCTTTCTGCCACATACGACATGAAGTTTCCCAGAAATGTGACAGTTCTTACTTAAGACCTCTTACAATTCAAGGACAGGCACAGAGAGAGATTAGAGAAAACGAACTGAGAAAGAACAGGGATTTTTTTTGTTGTTGTTGGTTGCAGACAATTAGGTTCAGCAGGATGGAAGGTATTGTATGATGAGGAGCTGGAGTTGCCCATCTGATGGACATTCCAGTCCCATGTTTCTTCGTGGGCTCACTCTAATGAGCTGGCTAGAAATACAATGTTCACAAAGGATATAAATAAAGATGTCATTCAGTCTCACTTAATTTCTGTCCCACCTCTGCTCACAAGCTTTCTGCCTGTGGAGGCAGCTGGTGGATTTATCATGGGGTCAGAGCAGGACCCGATACACTGGCAGCACTGACATTGAGAGGCCTGTGTCTGAGCAGTTCAGGTCCTGCACTACCATGGCAGCACTCTGACTGGCATGGTCATCCCTTTCTGCTTCTGAGAGAATGAGAAATGATGCAAAACCATGGTGCACATCTCACCAATATTGCAATCTAAGGCTGAGCAGGATGGTAATTCCTCAGCCTGGCCTCCAAGAGTCACACAAACCAAAAAAAGTCCTCATCCTGATTTCAATATCAGATTTTGGTTGAGATTGTCAATGTTTCTTACCAAGTGTTACTATTTAACCTCAGAAGGCTTCCCGTTCTCCTCTGAAAGTTATGTACTTGAGCAGTTTCAGAGAACAGTGGGTCTTTTTTCGGCTCTCTGGGTGGGGAAATTGTAGCAGTAACTGTTTTCAAGTTGAAGATGCTTATGTGTGGTCCCTGACCAGGAAGGGCTTTTCTTAACTTTTAGTAGGAGGAGGGAGAGAAAAGGGTGGAGGTGGATGGATAGATGAAAAAAAATCACCTTTGGAAGGAAGCTGAACATTAAATTTTTGTTCAACAGAAGGAAGGAGAAACACAATTCACAGCCCTTGACATAGCTGAACCGAAGCTGCCCTCAGTCTTCAACATCTGCTGAAACTCCAGATGAAGCTTGCAGATGTCTCCAGAACCTACAGTCCTCTTTAAAGAAAAAGGTAATGTAAATATGCACTAGACCAGCATCAGCTGTGGATTTATTTTAATGTGGTACCAACCAAACTCCTCCAGGTCCTGGATTGTGCTCATCACCGCAGAAATCCCTATATGGGCGAGGTGCCTCTGGGGTGAGGACAAGGGGACGCTCACCACCCTGTATGGTCCTGGCTGCTTTTGCGGAGCGACTCACTGGCCTGGGTGGCTCCAGAGTGGGCAAGGCTGAGAGGAGCCCCACGGCTGGTGGTGGCCAGCCACACTATTCACACGGGACCTTCTCTCTCATGACGAGAGAAAGAGCACTGCTTGTGGGTGTGAGTGAGTTTGTGTCTGCAGCACGGATGCTTGTGACTATGTGGCCGCGCAGAGGCTCATCTGCACAGAGGGCTCCAGCCACACAGGGCAGTCCCAGTTCGCATGGGATGTATTTATATTGCAGCAGCTTTCAGAAGCTGTGTGTGCGGGCAGTGCCCTGTCCTAGCACTTCCCCAGCACGAGCTCCTGACCCTTCATAGGAGACCTGCACAGGAGTGAAGTGTTTCCCTTCACCCCATTTCCACCCTACCCAGCTTCCCTGAGCTTGGCTGGAGCTCCTCGCTGCCTTGAGCCACCGGGGTGAGTAAAGCAGTGGGTGCAGACACCCACCCATCTTGCTGGGTAGGTTGGGGACCAGTAAGGGGCCTACTCGATCCTCTGACTATCTGCCTTCTTGTCCACTTGCCCCAGGGCTGGAGAAGGAGCTGCTCGCCCATCTGCTTTGCCTTGCCCTGAGTGTTGCTCTGACATATTTGCATCCGCGAGAACCCTTACTAGTTGCATCCCGGCACAGCCCGTCTGCGTGGGTGGATGTCCATGCGCGATGCAGCTTCTTTGAGAGGCCTGGATCCTCGGGTCAGCTGCAAATTTCCTCGCTGGGAGAGCGCTGGGCTGGCCCTGGGGAAGCGGGTTTAGGGCCAGCAGGTGTGAGGAAGGTCCAGCCTAGCATCATCCCGGGGTGTGCCACTCCACGAGGTGCTTTCCTCATGGGCTGGGGAGGGGAATAATGTCCCTAACCCCGCGGTTGCCCCTCGGGGTGCGTCGTCCTGGGCATCCTTGTGATTTAAGGGGCGGCCGGAGCTGCACGGGGCGCTGGGGGGCCGCTGCCCGTGTTTGCCGCTCAGACCCCGGGGAGCCGGGACCGAGCGGTGGCCGGCGCCCTCCCCGCGGGGCCCGCGTGCCCGGGACCGAGCTGGGGGGGTGGGGGGTGTCCCTGAGTGTCGGGAGAGGGTCCCGTGTGCCCCCACCTGTCGCGCCAGCGGTGGCACATCTGGGCGGTGCGCAGCAGCGCGTCCCCCCCTCCCGGGGGGGGGGCGGAACAACTGTCTCCATGGCAACGGGGCGCGGCGGGGGGGGGCCGCGGTGCTGCCGCCCCGCCCCGCCGTACCGAGCCGCGGCGGAGCCGAGCGGAGCCGGCGCGGCCCCGCGGAGGGCGACGGCCCGGCGGGGCATGGGGCCCGGCGGGCGGCGGGCAGGAGCGGCGCTCTCGGCGTCGCAGTGAGAGCGGGAGACGCCGGCGGAACGCTGCCCGCCCCCCCCCGCCGCCGCCGCCGCCGCCCCTCCCGGGGAGAGACCTTGCGCGGTGCCGCCCGGCCCGGCCCGGCCCGGCCCGGCTCGGATGCCGCCATGGGGAGCCGCTTCTCCAGCATCCCCGCGCTGCCCCGTGGCGGCCAGGGCCGCCTGCACCGCGCCCGCCACCACCACCTCAAAGGTACGGCTGGGCCGGCACCCCCGGCACCCCGAGCACCCCCGGCAAGACGAGCGCCCGCGGTACCCCGGGGCACCCCGGGGCGCCAGAAGCACCCGAGCGGCGCGAGTGCTCTGGGCACCCGGAGGTGGGATGGGCTCCCAGGCAGGACACGCACCCTGGGCACTCGAGGGACCCCCAATTTGGATGAGGTCCCTTGGCACTCATAGCGCCCTGAGCACCCCACGCTGGACAGGCACCCCGGGCACCTCGGGACAGGCTGGGCACCCCAGGGTGGGATGGCTCCGTGCCTGGGGCGGGAGCCCCTGCTCTGCTCCCAGCCCTGCTGCTGCTTCCCCGGCAGTGCCCGGTGGGTGGCCGATCGGCACACAGGTTTCCCCGGGCAGTGGCACCCTGGGAAAGGAAGGGACAACATGTTGGAAGAGTTGGACCACCAAAGGGTCCCCAAGTGTTTCTCGGTTTGCTTTGACGTATTGTCTGGGTGCTTTGGGAATGTGTCTGTGTGCGTTGGACTGTCAGTCCTGTTTGGAGGAGGGCAGGGGGTATTTGGGGCTCCTTGTCCAGCTTACATGGTTATTCTGTTCCTTATAAGGATGAAATCCTTTTTTGGAAATCCTGGGGAACAAAATCGGATGGGGATGACTTCTGTAAGCAGGAGTGACTGCCCAAGGTCTCCTCTGTTCCTGCCCTTTTTTTACCCCCTTCTGTTGTAAACTGGGAGGGTGGTAGCAGAAAATAACCTATCATTCTTGACAGGGATTTTCCTGGGCAGCAGTAAACATCATATGTGTTCAATGTTACCTGGGTACCTCTTCACTAAGCATGTTTTCCCAGACAAAGGCACTGAATGATGGGGGTAGAGGATGTCAGACCTTTCTCAGTAAGCAGTGAATGAGGGAAGGTGCTGCTCCCACAGCCATTTCAGATGATCAAAACTTGTTGCAGCTTCCCCGGTGTGTTGCAGAATTTGCAGCCACCAAAGTGGCAATAGGAATGTTGCTGTTCACCCTTATTTTTACTGAGCTTTTGGATACTTCTTTGGCATGGTCTAGGGGACTGGAAATGGTTAATGATGAGCTGGGCAACTGGTTCTTATACTGAAGGACTTTCTGATACTTGCATTATTCTTCCGTCACACCTCCCTGCTCCCTTTCTCTGTACTTGGGTGATTCAGTTGTGTGAACTGAGGGTGATTATATCATGGCTTTTTTAATGGCCATGCAAGGAGATGTTACGTATGCTTACTGATCTATCATGGACAAAGTCAGTCAGAAACTCAGCCCCGACAATGGATGTGCTTAAAATTAGACTTGCAAGGAGGTGTTGCTGAACCCTAAATGGTGAACCATCATCCTCCATCAATGCAAACATGAAGGCACATGCAATGCTGTAGTAGTTGGTATGCAATTGTAAACTGCCAGGGAGGATTTGTCTCTTAAGAATCATGCTGTCAGCTGGAAATCTTTCTGGCACAACCTAGAGCAGATAAGAATTCATAAACTGGATCTGGAAGGGACACTGCCACTTAATCCATTATCAGTGGCTTATGTGAGATTTTGAAGATGCTCTGTACAGATCACCTGATTTTGGAGGAGTGTGGGGTGCATGTTGTTTCTTTCTTTCTTTCTTCCTTTAATTTCTGTTTCAATTAAATTTCTACCTGTGCTGAGGCAGCAAGCAGAAATGTTCTCAAGACTGTAATTTAGCAGAGCACCGAAATATTTTTCATTTGGAGTAAAGCATTAACAAGGCACTGCCTTTGCTGTAAAACCCAAACAATTGCCAGGGACAATATGTGTCTTTTCTGTCTTTTTTGAAACTGGACTGCCTCAGGTCCTATGTTTAAATGCAGAACAAAGAAGTCTGATTGCATCTGACAGGTTCTTGTAAAATGGTCTGGAGGCATGGCAGTGAAAGTATGAATGTCACACTGTTTTGTTACATATCTGCCTTTAACATTTTGTAAAGTGTATTTTAACTGAAGGTCCCTAGTTGTTCTTCCTTCAGTGTCCGGCTCAGTGTTAAGTATACTGAACTTTGATAATTTGGCCACCATCTAGTACTTCCCTTCTGCGACGACCTCTTCCTGACCTGGTGTCAGGGGTGACTTAGGCTCATTCTTGCTAAAGAAGCAGCTATGATTGAATTAAGTTTCCCAAGGTGGTCTGGGGACTCATGAGTCAGTCCCCGAACCTTACAAGTTCATCTCTGCTATATAAGAAGTAAGGCCTTTGCACATAGTAGAGCTGATGCCCACACGTACTGGAAGTTTTTATACCTTTCTGTTACGCCTGCTAAAGATGGTCATCTTTAGTAAATCTTCTGAAGACCATGTGATACTTTTTCTGTTATTGAAGGCGTAACACAGAAATATCGTTGAAGACTGGTATGGCTGGAAGATTACTTGCTTTGCTTTTGATGGTTGTACGTAAGAAGGAAAGCACCTACCTTGATTCTCAGACTTCAGCTGTGGTTTCAAAACCACATAGCTGAAACATGCAGGTCTTTACTGAAGGTGCCTGCAACAGTAAACCTGTGACGCTGGGCTGATGATTTTAGAATTGCTTGCAGTGTAGCACAGTACTTTAAAATCTGATATGTCCAGTGCTTTATAAAAGGACTTCACATTGCTGTTGACTAGAAACTGCTAGATGTGAGCACTTTGGAATTACCTATTCCAAAGCAGTATGTCATGCCTGGATTGTTAATCTAGATTTTGGTGTTACAGTTGTACCTGCAGGCGTTGGCCAGTTGGATAGTGAAAACTACAGTCAGTGGAAACAGAAGCCCTCCAGGACTGCAGCTGATCAGATGCCATGGTCCTGTTGTGGCTGTTAATCTTAAAGTCATGGCCGGTGGTTGGAAGGAGGTTGTCACTTGGTGCTATCATGATGGAGAGGTTGAGGTGAGATTATTATCAGCATTCCTGTGAGTATTTCCCTTTCCATAACTCAGACATGGCTGTTTCTCTGGGGTGACGGAAGGTGATCCATTGTGTACTTTCCTAATGCTGAGCAAAAGATTATGATTATCTGGTAACAATCTCCTTAATGATGCAGCCAAATAAACTCCAGGAAATTTTTGCTGTCCACCCTCTCTGAAATATGGCTTGCGATAACTATCAAACAAGGTGTGTATGGCTGTTTGGGGTGGAACTGAGTGGGAAAAGTCCAGCTATATCTAATCTGAATTTTGTGATGAAAAAGATCAACCTTTGCATCAGTGTCTCTGTGTACTGCTTATTTACTAGTGCCGGGGCAGTCTGGATTGAACTGTCCCAACCAAGGAGATATCTATTATTTCTCAAGATGTACATCCCCAGTTCAACCCATCTCCCTGCTCCAGGGTTCTTCCAAAAGAGTCCTTTTGATCTCCACTCTTAATCCTCCTTTTTAATCCTGGTGTAGCTTGGTATATTACCATCCTTACCTAGTGTTGCATCTTCCAAATCTCTGTGGCTGTTGCATTCCTTCCTATTGCTCAGCCTTGCTGGATGTGTTTAACTCTTCCTACTGTGATGTGTGGGCTGTGTACCTGTTAGAGATTTGCTGGTCCAGGATGCTAGAAATGCAGTTTACTAGCCCTTGGTCCAGAGGTGAGACACAAGACCTGAATGCCATCTCCCAAGACCCATGGGCACACAGCTCTTTATCCTCACTTGTTTCATGTCCTCAGCTTCAAGAAGGCTTAGCCATTTCTGTGGACAGCAGATCAATATTACATTGTAAAAGCTAAGAACTATTACTATCTTCTCGCTTAAGTTCTTTCCTCCAGCCTCCTGATCAGGTTTGCTATTCTTTCCTGAGCCCCCTCTTGCCTTGGAAGGTGGCTTTCCCTGGTGAATGACAGTGAGCAGGATTTCCTTCTGTCGGTCTTCTCACGGATAATGCACCTATGATATTTATGCAAAAGAATGCATGCATTATATTACAGAGACAGCCTGAGCTAGTCAGAGATCCTCTTTTCAGCAGTGGCTGATTACTCATGGGTTATTCTTTATTATTTGTATTATAGTGGCATCTGGAGGCTCCCATCGAGATCTGAGTCATGTTGTGCTGGGTGCTTCCATGGTCTTCTGTACTTACTGCTCATTCATACAGATAGCTCTCACGTGTCTGCGTGATCTCTGTGAGATGATTTGGGGTTTCTATCTCCAGAGTAACACATGAAGCAGGCTGGCACCTTGGTAGGACAGTTCTTCTTAGCCCTTTCTTTTGCTAGGAAACCTGAAGTCAGAGTCAGCAGTGGTTTGCTGAAGGGTGTGACTCTGCCTTTCTGGCTGCAAGCCCCCAGAAACACAGCCTATTGTGCAGCCCTTTACCAAGGGGGAAGGGGTCTTGCTGCTTCCCCTGGCCCATGGGGAATACTAGTCACGATTATACAGTCTTTGCTTGCATTTTTGCAGTTGCTGTTCCAGACTTTATACCCCACTGACACATAAATATGTTGGACTTTTTTATCTTTTCACTGGGACTTTATGAGCTTCTGAAATACATGCAGAAGATAGTAATCTGACTGGTGTAGGCATTTTAATAATTGTATGTTGTTGATAGGAAAGACTATCCTGCTGCCAGCTCCATTTTGTGCACTCACTAGATAAAACCAAGTGGGAAGTAAAAGGACGTCAGCAGCTGATGATCACGGGGATTAGAAGTTGGGGAGCAAGCAGTGCACTGGGGGAGGGGATGCCAATAGTGATGCTCTGAGATAACCTCAGCTCCCATTGATGTCATAATTGGTTCTTGTTTGAAGTACTATTTCATTTTCTTCCAGCCTTAGAGGGTCAGAAGTTTCATCATTCAAGGCTTTGAAGGATGCCTCCTGCTACCTGCCCTTCTGCTTTCATTCTGTCCTGGATTGTGCTTGTTTCCCTCTGACCTGTCAGTGTGTCCGGGTTGTAGGTATAAAGTTTTTCCTGCCTGAGGTTCTCAGGTTTATATGACCTTCTCCCAAGCACCAGACTTTTTCCCCAAGCTACTGAACTTTGATTTATTGCATTTAAA